TATAAAAAATTTATAAAAAAAAAATAAAATAGGTGCTATACTAACTTCTTCATAAGCTGGTTTTGGAATTAGATGAGATTACTGAATCACCAGCCCTCTTTATTATTCTATTCATATAAATGGTATACATACGTCTTTTACTTGTTCTATGCAAACGTATTAGCTATAAAACATACTTAAATAAGGTAAGAACCAGAAAGGAATTCTGTGGACCACTTGTTTTTCTTTTCTTCTTCTTTTTAAGTATTTGGTACAGGGTCTCACTACACAGCTCAGATTCCTAGTGATCCTCCGGCTTTCAGCCTCCCCAGCAGTGGGATTACAGACGTACGCCACCACACCCGGTCGTGATGTCTGGCTCAGTGTGCCCAGCAGCGGGGCCGGCACAGCATGTGGGATCAAACCCCAGCCCCTGAACTTGCCTAAGCAGGTGGTTAGTCTGCTGAGCTATCTAGCTCGACTCTTCTCTTCTCTTTCTTTTCTTGTACTGGAGATTGAACTCAGAACCTTGCACTTGTCGGGCAGGTACTGATGCCACTGAGCTATTCCCCAACCCTGTTGTCTTTTCTTGACTGACTCCACCAAGTCCAAAATGGGAAAACAAGAAACTCCATGATCTGAAGAACTTTTACCCTGACAATCACTGAATGATCAGGCAAGTTTTTGCTATGCTTCATATCAATACACTAGGCAGGTCAAGAACTTGAGCCTTTCCTGATAATTCTGCTGCACAATAGTTTCTTCCCCACCAAATCTGTGTCACAGTGTTTATCACAATGAAAACAGAACACACTTCATGAGCGACTGGGAAAGCTGAGATGTAGAAGAAAGGTACTGAAAGGAGACAATGTGATTTCTTAATCCTATGCAAACAGGGTAAAATCTAAGACAATTTCAAGTTTTACCTGTTATAGGTTAAACTCACCAAATCCCTATGGTATCACTTTTCGATGGCTGTAAAAGATGTGCAGTTTCAAGTTTTTAGGAAATAAGAACACACTCACCCAGCAATAGGATGAACCACAATTGCCCGAGGGTTGTTCAAATTCTGCACTATTGCACGTCTGGATTTGTCAGCAAGTCTCATGACGCTAACGGTCTTCAAAGAAGCATCTGTCCAATACAGATTCTTTGAAGTCCAGTCAAAACTCAAACTTTCAACATTTTGCACCCTGTTAGCAGTGAGAATTTCTCTTCCTGTAAGTTAAAATATGGACATGGTTTAAACTAAGCATATGATTTTCCTTCTACTGCATATTAAATTTTCCATCAGAATTAGAACACATGTAAAATTCTTTAAGAAAAAAAAAAAACCTGTAAAATGCTGAGCAGCAACATGAGATAAATAAACCTAGGCTCTATCCACTCACTCAAAGTTTGGATCTCAGAGAAAAGATATGACACTGATAAGCAGAGCCAGGAGTGCTATGGTCCAGACTTACTCCCTTATTCAACCTTCCAGAAAAAAATTCCTCCTCTCAGAACATCCCAAGGAGAGATACCTGAGCGCACCTTCTACCACCCCCAGGCCGCTCTGCTAAGCTGACACTGCCAGGTACAGCCAGGGCTGCCTGGAGGTATCAAAGCCCAACCCTCTCACCAGGCTTTTAACAGCCTTTCTGCCAGGCTGTTGGAAGAGATCAGTGAAGATGCCAGAAGAAAAACGGAACAGGATCCAGGAGGGAAAGGACCATTTTATTCGCTGTAAAATGCTTATTCCTGTCTGCCTCTTTTCTCACTAAAAAAAAAACTCAATCAAAATAAGCAGTAACATCTTTCTTCTGCAGTAGCATAAAAAAAACTATTTCTTTTCACTTCTTCAGAAAATTATAAAAAGAAATCCTCCATGTGCTACATAATGTTAGACATTCAGGTAACATGATGTTGCTACTAATAATAGCCTGTATTAACTGAGCTCTTACTAGGAGCTAAAAACTGGTACAAGCCCTTTATGGATTCGCTCATTCTCACTACTACTCAGTCAAGAAGGTGTCTTTTTCGTTGTTATACCAGGAATCAAATTCTGAACCTTGCATCTGCCAGGCAGGCACTGCACCACTGAGCTATATCTCTGGCTCAAGGAGGTATTTCACAGATGAGAGAAATGAGGCATCAAGAAAGACTGTGGGCACTGTCCTCAAGGTCATTCATGAGGTAGTGAGACCCAGAAGCAAAAATAAACGTGTAGTGGGGCTTGACAGGGTTATAGTAGCGTGGACTGTGAACACAGGTTCATCAACCTGTGGCATGAGCAAGTATGACAAGGTGGAAGCAGGGGGTGGCTTCCCAATGGAAGCCTACGAGAGAGGGGGAGACAGTGAGACTCCCAGTGCTCAGGGGCATGGCAGGAAGTGAAGCAGTGACATCAGGCTCACAGAGAGGGACATGGTCACAGGACCACAGGTTGTACAAGGCGGGCAGGGGCGAGGTGCTTTACCCCCAGGCGGGGGTCTGTGAGAAGTACAAGGCAGGGGTCCATGTGGATGTGTCAGTTTGGCAGTGGCTGTGGCAGTGGCATCACCACATGAAGCAGCTCCAAGACAGCCGGTGCCGCGGACCTGAGTCTCAGAGTGAAAACTTGAGAGGCCTCCAAGCAATACAGGAGAGAATCATCAAGAAACAGGAAGGACAAAAGATGGGAGAGAGGAACATAAAAGCCAAATGCACATCCATCACTAAGTAGTAATTATCTAAAATGAAAGCAAAACATAGCATTTCGTTAAAAATAAGAAACAGCTACAAGAGTGGCACAGGAGAGAAGGTCTGGAGAGAGGTGTGCGGGACCCAGGGCAACAGGGTTTTCCATTGATTGTGGCTAACAACGTAGTTAATGTGTTTCAGACACAACTGCAGAGGCTTCAATGCGCCGGGCTACACTTCCGTCAGCAACCTCACGATCTAATGCAGTACCTGAATTACTGTTTGTACTTTACATTTTAGGAAACTGAGCCATAAAGAAATTAAGTACCTTGCCCAAGTTTACAGTTATGAAATGTGGTAAGCCAGAATTCAGAGCCAGGAAGTCCAACTCCCAATCTGGCCCTCCTAGTTGCTATATTATATGTACTTTCATTTTTCAGATTGCAAGTTTAAACTCATCAGAGGGTACAAAATCAACTTCAGAGATCATGCCATCACCCAACGAAGGACGCAGCAGTAATGACCAAGTTATCTGTCTTTGATGATCAAGATTTTAACAACCCAAATCCACTAAGAACAGCAAATCCACATTCACATACAATTTACTTATTCCTTAGAAATTCTTGTTCCAAGCCAAGCCACTGGCACGTAAGCAGCTCAGCATCCATAAATATAGGGAGGGAAGTCATCCCTTTGGTTGATCAAATGGAAAGAACAGCTTCTAGTCAATTAACCTACAGAAGGCTTTCCAGCACTCCACCTTTCTTTCAAACTATTTGTTAAAATACACTCTCATTTATCAGATTGTTTGAAAATAAAGGAAAGGTGCTTGTTTTAATTTTATCTATTTTCTCAGTCTAAACGTGTTTACCAAGCTTAGTAATGAGCCACCTAAGTAAATACAATGTTACACTAACTGAATTATTAATAGAAATCTAGAAAAGAAGAAAAATGTGATTCTCTCTCTCTCTCTCTCTCTCTCTCTCTCTCTCTCTCTCTCTCTCTCTCTCTCACCTGTGCCATCAATCTTTTGTTTGTAAATCATGTCCTGTGAGATATCTGAAAAAAAGATAGTGCTTTCCCGGGCATCAAAGTCAATCCCAAGGAAGAAAGAAGAACTCCCTGTCACCGGAAGGATGACATCCTCTTGCGTAGAGGGGGTGAATGGGATTCCCCGAACAGCCACTTCTGACGAAAAGAGCAGGAAGTTCTTGAGCACTGTGGAGAGAGGGACACAGTACAGTCAGCCACAGCATTGTTCCAACTCCCCCTCAAGCTCCCGGAAAACTGCTAACATGTTCATCAGACACACTTCATAGACATGAAAGATAATTCTGAAAGAAGCATAACAAATCATAAAATCATAACTGGAAAAAAAAATCATAACTGGAAATAACTGGAAGAGAAAAGCTAAGCAACAGAGATAATACCAGTATTAGAATCTTACCTCTTTCCGAGAAATTTATCCCTACAATTCATTTACATAATGGGGCCCATAGGCTTAAATTTTTAAAATAGAATGAACTGAACTCCTTAGTGATTCCATCAAATTCTCAAGTAAGAATAACTTTTGCACAGAAATCTATGCCCAAAAAAATCTACACCAATTTCTGCATAGAAATCAGAAGAAGGAATAACAGAACCGAAGTAAATAATTCACAAAGCAATAAACGAGTGAAAGAAGAGAGGAGTGGATGAAGGAGTTAGGAAGCAAGGACTGATGTTTCAAAGCACACATGGAAGTGTAAGCTGTAAGCCCAGCAACCAGGGATGCTAAGACAGGAGGATCCAAGTTCGAGGCCAGCCTGGGGAACTCAGTGAGGCCTTCTTTCAAAATAAAAAAAAAAAAAAGAGACTAAAAGGGGGCTGAAAAGAAAACAAGAAGATTGTGACAGTAACACAAAGGTAAAAACTATAGAAAGGAATTTAAAAGCTAGATAGTTTACTATTGGATTTTTTTTTTTTTTCTCTGAATGCCCTCAGGGTTTGGTTGGCGGGCTGGAGAGTTGTGGGGATCGAACTACAGCAACCTGAGGCTGACAGTTTGGTGGAAGCAGCCACTTAAAAGAACTGAGCTAGGGCCAGGCCCCCTAGATAGTTTACTATTAATAAATTAGTTATAAACATAGTTTTATCTAAATCTAGGATTGCCTACGAAGTTAACAAATTTGTCTGAGTCAGAATAAAAGATTCCGTATACAAAGCCAGAAGTAGCACCCTCCAGAGAATAAGGGTTTGTCAAAGGCATAAAATGAGAGCTGTAGAAGAGAGAATGAGAAAAGCAAGTATCGCAGGGTATATTTCCTCGCTGGCAGAGGCCCAGGCGATACACTGCTCATGACCACAGGGAAACCTTGAATGAAACCAGGGGCACAGAGGAAGGCATCCGAAGAGAAAGGTGAGCGGTATGAGGGACTGAGCTGCCTCAGTGCCCACGGGCTTATTTTGGAATAGCACAACAAAACCAGGCAGGATTAAGGCACCATCACTTGGCTCAAACAGATGTAAGTGGTGGTCTAGGAAAAGACAATAAAAGCAATGGCCTGCTTCCCTTCAGGTTAGAGTTAAGCCTCATATCTAAAGTGGAAGTGGCAGAGCTGGACTGCTGAAAACTTGCCTAGCATGCATAAGGCTGTGGGTTCAATTTTCAGCACCAATGAATGAATGAATGCATGAGGAAATGGTACACATAGTATAAAAAAGAACTCAAAATTCAATCATATGGAATTTGAAGACCATAGTTAAAAGGTGGTAGAAGTGGAAACGCCCACAGGACAGAGTTTTACCTCCAGCCCAGTTCTGTGTGCAGAGGAAAGTGGTGCCCACCAAGAAAGATGCCCCGTAGGCTATAAAGAGTATTTTCTGTAGTGAAGACATCAGAACCGGCCCAGGGCAGAGCAGAAGCTGTGCGGCAGAGGCCTCATGTGTGCCCTGTGCTGCCTGCCAGAAGGACACCCCAGGCCGGACTGCTCACCCACACAGTGGCGCTCATCTGCATCCAGCTCGAAGCCAAAGGAGCACTTGCAGCGGTAGCCCAGACCCCCATTGTCTGTCCTGTGGCTGAGGACACAGACGTGCTCACAGCCTCCGTTGTTACTGCCGCACGGGTTGCTGGCTGGAGGAGAAAGGGCACAGGGTCAGGTCACAAGGAGAGTCGTGTGCTTATCCAAGACATCTGAGGCCCCCAGGCCTGAAAGTGACAGAGTAATGGGCTAAAACTCCTTGGAGCCAAAACTCCCGTCGTGTCCCCCCCCCACCCCCGTCAGCCGCCTCCCAACTTCAAAGCTGCGCTCCCTTCTCTTGTTTTGTTTTGTTTTTTTTGTGGGGGGGGGGTCTCTATGCGGTTCAGACTAGCTTCAAACTCTCAACCCACCTGCCTCAGCCTCCTTACTACTGGGATCACAGGTATGTGCCACCCCACTCAGCTCCCTTCTAGTCTTAGGCAGTACAGGGAAAAAACAAGACTCTCACAACTAGGTAACCAGGGGATTCTTTTCCCATAATAACCTCTGAGCTTAAAAATACCCCCAAATTTTTTTAAAAAGCCATTAGTACCATTTTTACCATTCATAAGACACAGTAAGTGACTATCACTCACTAGTTTGTTTTGTGAGGAAGACATCATACAATCAAGAAGTGCAAGCAGAACTACTTTCTCAATTTTATAGAAAACTCCAAAAAAGTTACACAACTTGTGCGAGACTATGCAATGGCTACAATGCTGCTGTAGGATCTGAAGCCATCTCTGACTCTCAGACCTTCCATGCCTGCCACACACAAGACAGTTTGTGCTTCCAAGGTCCCCCTCCAGGCAGTAGCCTCAGGAAGCTCACTTCGTGCTGCACACAGGCTACACAGATAAAGCTTTTCTAATTGTCTTTGGATTTTTGGCTTTTTCTCCCAAATATTTTCTTTTCCTTCTCATGAGGATTGATTTGGAGGAACAATCCCAGCCAGATATCGGTCAGAGTCAAATAATTTGCAATGATCAAACTGGGCAAGAGCAGATATGAAATGAGTAGCTTATATATTAAGTCTGAAAACTATTTTAGGGGGGCCAGGGAGATGGCTCAGTGGAATAAGCACTTCCCTGGCAAGCACAAGGGTCTGAGTTCAATCCCTAGTTCCGCAAAACAAACAGGCAAACAAACAAACAACCCAAAAACAAAAAATAAGTGCTTAGTATGACCTGAAAACTATTTTAAATGGAGATTCCCAAAATTTTTTCAGGTAAATATATATACTTCTGGGATGGTGACATTGAAGGTTATTCATCTGAATGCATCAATTCTAATTACTGGCTTTTAAATCAAACTGATTATTTTGTCTTTCTCCATCCTAAAACGCCTCTCCACTTACCATGAGAATTTTTTTTTTTTTTTTTTTTTTTTTTTTTTTGCGGAACTGGGGATTGAACTCAGATCCTTGCGTGAGCCATCTCCCTGGCCCCACCATGAGAATTTTAAAGCAAACATGTCTTTCTCCAAATTTAATTCATCAGTATGAAGTTTTCCATCAACATAATTTGGTATACTACTATATTTTTTTCTTTTCATCCACAAGCAAATACAGAAAAGAACCATATACAATCCATACAGACATGTCAAAGCCCAATTTAAAACCCTTACACAAACCAAACTTACTGCAAAGTAATAGAAGACTAAACAGTTTGAACCAAAATATTTTTCTTGAATAAATGACCAACTGGACAGACAGCAGATTCAGCTGGCCCATGGTAGATCTAATGAAAATCAAAGAGCTGGTGTCCCACAGAGCAGAGAAGGAAAATGAGCACTTAGGTATTCCATTTTCCCCTCCAGGCCTCAGTTTCCCCAGACATCAAAGGAGTTGTCTGAAGGAGGAGGGAGGTGTTGTTGCCTGGTTTGTCTGTTGCTGGACAGGACCTGGCACACTGCAGGGGCCACTCAGCATGTAGTTCTTTCTAGAGTTGGCATTTTAACTCTAAAATACATCAATTTTCTGAAATGCCTGTGATCTGAAGCCAATTGCAGAGGTTTAGTACTCTAGATAACGCCTCACATACTTGAGCTACCTCATCATTTACTGCCATGGCTTCCGACCAAGGGCAGTACCACGCGGGGTGCTCACCGTTGGGCTGCCTGAGGGCATGGTACACAGTTACCCCATAGGGCCTCAGGGTGGAATGGTAGTAGGCCTGGGGGTGGGTCTCCTCGAACTTGTTGGCCTTCATCACGGCCATCTTCGTCCAATCGGTGTAGAACACGTTTTCCTCGAACAAGCTGATTCCAAAGGGATGAGGGATAAGAACTCCTCCGTGAAGTACTGTCTTCCTGTTGCAAAGGAGATACAAAGACCGTGTAACTTTTTGGGTTGGTTGGTTTTCTTTTACTAATTTTATTTATTTATTTATTTATTTATTTATTTATTTATTTATTGAGGGAGAACTAGGAAACTTTAAGAGGAAAGTGGTCTCGGGAAACAAAGCAAAAAGGGCCTAAAAATGAATGAACTCAAGGGTGCATGAAAATAACGGGCTTCATCTGGACAAGGGGTGCAGCAGGAGGAAATTAAAGGACAAATACTAGCCTGGGCAGACAGCTCAGTAGCATAAGCACCTGCCTGGTAAGCTCAAGGTCCTGAGTTTAATCCCCCGTACCAAAAACAACAACAAAAAAAAAAAAAAAAACCCAGAATACTCTTAGGTAATGTTTAATACCATTAGGGAACACAAGAGACGTTAACAAAATGCACAGCAGGTCACTTCATGCAATGCCAATACAAAGGTCACATAAGCTGGGCTATGAACCATCCAGGTAGTGTTTCAATTCTAGTTCATTAGTAGGTCTCTTGCCTATTTTATATACACTACTTTGTTTCATACTCAAAGCCATCAAAAATAATATTTCTCACCTTTGAATTCCATCGTAAGTTACGGTTTCAACACAATCATATCGGGAATCGACCCAGTAGACCCTCCTGGTCAACAAGTCCAGAGTGACCCCAGCAGGCCATCCCAGCTTCGTCTTTACCAGGTCCTTCCGGTTGCTGCCATCCATGAAAGCCCTTTCCAACTTGGGTTCCCCAGAAAGGCTTTCCCAGTCTGAGAAAAATAAGTAACTACAGGAGAAAAAGGCAAAGGGTCAAAGGGTTTGTGATTTTACAAGTTTAACTGGAAAAACAGTATTTCTTGGATAGTGTCTCGATTGATGGAATTTCCTTCCCACTGACTAGCAAACTGGGAGTATAAAACAACGCCAGCAAAAGGTGTTTCACCAAGAGGGGCAGGGCGATGGCACCTGACTATAATCACCACACGCAGACAGGCTGATGCAGGAAGATGAAGTGCAGGGCCAGCCTGGCCAACCTAGCAAGACTGCCTCAAAATAAAATGTTCTCGGGCTGGAGAGATGGCTCAGTGGTCTAAAGCACCTACTTGGAACAAGCTTGACAAAGCATAGGGACCGCGGTTCGAACCCCAGCACCACA